CGTGAAATGTAGGAGAGTTTGGTAAAGGTTGGGATGGATAACGATAACAAGATGTACATATCACATGTAACCTATGCCGAGCCCCTCCCACAGTGGGCGGGGCGTTCCAAAAGCGCACCGAAAATGAGCTGTGCCGCTGGCGAAAATTCATAAGTCGGTTCCAAAGCAGCCCTGAAACGGGGGAAAAGTGGGCTAAGTGTACCAAAGGGCTCAGTTTTTGAATGTATACCAGGTCAGAGCTCACAGAATTTCGCACGTTTTACTATGATAATTGAGGCTTGCAAACGACTTCGGCTGAGGTAACAACGGTGCCTTCTGTGGATACCTCTGAACAACTGTGGAGCACTGAATCGATTGAAAGTAGTCACGAGACGATACAAGCAACGATTCTCTGGCAAAACGAAAATCCGTGTGAGTTACCTCCACATGCTGGAACTCCTGGAGGTGTTGCTCAAAAAATGTGAGTCTCTCTTTTGATTATTTTTTTGCAAATGTAAGGCAAAGCTCAGTCCACGTTGGACGTATGGGCGGAGATACCGAATAGCCCTGTGGAGGCAGGATGTTGAAACGTTCAAATTCAGGTGGCATTTCGACGAATCAGTAATGACGTGTGCTCCATTTGTCTTTCTTGGTACTGGTGGCAATGCGAACCGATTTGTTGATTCCGAAACCTGTATGCGAACCTGTGGAAGCGGTGAATAATTCTTCTACTGCATTGTTTGCATCCCAGCGCTTTCGATGTTTCATTAGTTTTTTATATCATTCCATTTTGATGAAGCAGTGCATGCTGATTAGGGTGGAGTCGGCCCAGCAGTTTGTGGCCTTTTCATAAGCGGTCGCCCTCGGGTCTTTCACCCGGTAGAGAAGCTGAACGCCAATGAGGCTTACGTCGGTTTGGCGGGTACCGGGGGGCCTGACTCCGCCCATACGATCAGCGTGGACTGCGTCTTCAGAACATTCTTGGCACCATATCGAACATTCTAGGAAAACCCACTCGTGCTTCATGTGAGCTGCCTTCACAATTCGGAAACGGAACCTTTAAAATACCGCGGTACTATTTTGATAAGGTAGGTTTCTAACATAACTCAGTTTCACAAAGAAGCATCTTCTTCGGTAATTTCATTGCTCCGAAAATTCTGAGGGTATAACATTCGAGCACTGTTTGGCCTGGAGAGGGCATTTTGCACTTCGCTAGTCCTTTGCCTACCTGTTTAAGAATAACAAGGTCTTACTGTGGTGATACTGTGAAGTCGTGAAGCTGCCGCGAGATGGTGTGTGAGCTACTTGGTCACAGCGAACTCGAAAGCGGTCCTCACAGGGCGCTTGTGCACTCCGGTTGCCCCCTCAAAGGCAAAGCCCCTAAGTTGGCTGCTATAGTTGCCTAAACTTTTCCAATTTATACCCAATTCGCGAAATGGCTCATGAATTCGACACTTCAAGGGATCATGGCCTTCGGCACTCGAGCATTAAGCTGAGTCCTCGGGCTTTCGGGGTGGTTGCGGTACTCATACTCATAGAATAAAGCTCCCCCAGAGACGATTGTGAGCGTTTTTTTTTGGTTCATATGCATCCAGTGAAGCTTCCTTGTGACCAGAGCGACTCAGTTGTGTCACTTCACAGCTTCATAAGGTGTGGGTGCTCACAGGTATCACCAAAGTGAACCAGCGAAAGTGAAAAGTGGACTACCATTTGAGTCCAACAGCGCCCAGTTCCTTAGCCAAAGTAAACCCAAGCGTAAATTTTCAGGAGATTTTGGCGTTGACTTCCAAATCTTTTTATAGACTGCGAAGCAATGCGAGCTATTCTATTATTCCGGCGATGGAGGAAATGGGAATCGATTTCTAAAGAAAGCCAAATGCGAGCGTCTTTGTCTTGGCAGTTTGTTTACCATTCTGTTTCTTCGCTGTTTTTTTTCTCAAAAAATTACGCTAAATTGACTTTGATCGCTGAATGGCAATGGTCAAAAGTAAACAGGAAGAGTAAGGTTCTGGTATGTTACCATAACTGGACTATCTCTTCTGTATAGAAAATAAATAAATCTTGTGCTTACTGAAAGCTTAAATTGCAGAGAAGAACAAGAAACAAAGCACAGCGGCTGTTGCCACCTCCACGATAGGAACGCGGCCAGCGACGAGAATATTCCAAGAATTTCACTCCTCTGAAGCCACTACTAGTAAGCCTATGATTTGTCCCTTTTACATTTCATGCGCAGGCGTTTGCTCCTGCAGTGGCAACTGATCCAACTATATGATAGCTACGCTTCAAATTTCAGCTTCTCCTTCTACCACAACCACCACGTCTGCACCAATTCCTCCTTCTTCCACAGCCACCATGCCAGCACCAGTTTCTCCATCGTCGGAGCAGTCAGCCGAAATCATATTTGTGTCTACAGCTTCTGGTCAAACTTCATCAGCGAAGGCCCTTACACATCCTCTATGGAAGAGACAACTCCGGATTCCTATCCCACCCTCATCA